CCATCCTCTACGAACTCGGTCGGTGGATGCTCTCTCCGCCACTGCTCCAGCCCGTGCAAAAACCTGGTATGCCCATCGCTGGCCTCAGACTCTGCTTCGGAGTCCCGGTCCAGTTCCTGCTGTTCCCTCTCGGTCGTGCTCGTGGAAGTCTCCTCTTCATGGTAAGTAACCGTTACCTTTAAGCTTGCAGTCACTTCGTCTCTCTTGAACCGCCGCTCGGCTCGGTTACGAGCCTCCGTAATTACACCCTGAACCTTCACATCCTCCCTCATTTCCTGCTCTTTCCCTCCGTAGACATTAATTTTTAGTTTGGCCATCCCGTCACTTTTACTATAGCTCAAAAAGGCATCCACTGTAGCTCCCTCTTCACGCATAGGCTCCCAACTCCAGTAGAACCTCAAATGCCCTGACCTGTAGCCAAAAAGGTCATTGCTGCGTGCCATAGCTGCCCACTTGATGAGCTGAGGTCGGTGCTCTGCACTGGCGCACGCAGACTGCCCCCCCCTTCACTCGAGGGCTGAAACTGGGCCGTCCCGAAACAGCCACAACTCGACACCCCGAGCACTAGCAGAGCGACTGCTACACACCCCCTTCGTCACTTACCTCTCACGCCTGAGCTTGCCAATACACAGCGCGACAAAGTCGCCCTTACACTCATAGCCAGAAACTCGGCTCCCCCTCTTTCTTATAGGATCGCTTCCTACCGCGACCCCTGTGTTCTGAATGAAGGACTCAGATCAGTCCCTTTCAAATCTTTTTAGATGCAAGAATTTTAAAAGTTAAAATGATGCAATAAATTGAAACTAAATAGATTACGGGACGTTCGAGTCCAGAACCCAACGGTCGAGCACGAACTAAACCTCGCGCCACCGTCAGTCCTAGACCCCAGTGATAGGACTGCAGATTCAACACTGGTCCCATAACGAGATATCGACGGAGACCGCCCTTTTTTAAAACCCGCAGTTGGCCTACTCCTATTGGGTGTCCGTGTCTGATGGCAAGGAGGGGGCTTATGACCCTCCACGGAGGGTCATAAACCTCCTACCAATGCGGCCGTGGGTCGCGCCTCTTTTGAGGTCTTCCCGCGCGGAGCTCAACCAGGCGGATCTGACACAGGTGACTTACGAGGGGTCGGGCCAGCCTAGGTCGTCAGACAGTAATTGTAGTCCAAAAATTGAGCCGTCGGCCTCCCCTACAAAGTGACAGAGACCAAAAGGAAAACCGCGTCTGAGAAACCGGTAGGATAATAGTAATAATAATAATAACAATAATGATAGTGGAGGAAAAGGAAAACTCAACGATAAAGTAACCAACTGTCACTGGATTATTCCGAATTAAAGCAAGGACCCTGATCCGCGTGCCGATCAAACGCCTAGTCGTCTTTCACTTTTACACTTTTACTTCCTTTTATTCCTTTCGCTCAGCCTTTCCTTTTCTGACAGCGATCTGTTTCGTGCAACTAACCCATACATAACCTGGTAGAGGGGCACTCGGCGCGCAGTAGAAAAGGCCGCACCCGTCCCTCTACCTTCGCGTCCCAGGGCGAGCCCGACGGCTACCACGACTACAGACCGGTAGTGCTCTGCTGTACAGCAGGGCGCCGAGCGTGCATGGACCAATGGAAAGTCCTGTGGCGCACCCTTTTGCCGAGGCAAACGCCAACTGGAATTGTCCACACCGGGGTACAGCTCAGGTACCAGACCTGTAGGGATTCGGAACAGGCCTAATAAGCAGCAGAGGTTGGGAAGGTACTGGTCCTGAGCAGGAATCTGGCACACTAAGGAGGGCTGGGACACCGCACCCTCCGACACCGCCCGCTTGCCTGCCACCCATCCACACGCCCGCCTGCTTGCCCGCCACCCACTCACACACACACACACACCTGGCTGGAAAAAAAATTGGAGGTCCACAAAAAAAAAAACCTGCCTTTTCTTACAGGACGTGGGGAACTCCAAGGCGCTGCGCAGTTAAAAAGCGGTGGAGGCACATTCGAACGGGCCTCACTCCTGCACTACACGTTCGAATGGTGCCTCCCTCCGTTAGCATGCTCGTGGATGCACAAAGAGACTGGAGAGAGAGAGAGAGAGAGAGAGAGAGAGAGAGAGAGAG